ATACAAGTAGTGAAAGTAGACATCCTTGTCTTGTTTCTGATCTTAAGGAAAATGTTTTTAACTTTTCCCCATTAAGTGTGATGTTAGCTGTGGGTTTGTCATATATGGCCTTTATTATGTTGAGGTATGTTCCCTCTATTCCCACTTTGCTGAGAGGTTTTTTTAATCATAAGTGGATGTTGGATTTTGTCAAACACTTTTTCTGCATCTATTGATATGATCATATAATTTTCATCTTTCAATTGGTTAAAGTAATGTATCACATTAATTGATTTGCAGATATTGAATCAATCTTGCATTTCAGGAATAAATCCAACTTAATCATGGTGTATGATCTTTTTAATGTATTCCTGAATTCAGTTTGCTAATATTTTGTTGAGGATTTTGTGTTCATCAGAGATATCGGCCTATAATTTTCTTTTTTGTAATGTCTTTGTCTGGTTTTGGAATCAAGGTAATGGGGGCCTTGTAGAATGAGCTTGGAAGCTTTCCATCCTCTTGAATTCTTTGGAATAATTTGAGAAGGATAGGTGTTAATTCTTCTTTGAATGTTTGGTAAAATTTACCTGTGAAGTCATCTGGTCCAGGACTTTTGTTTTCTGGAAGTTTTTTTTTTTTTTTTTTTTTTTTTTTTTTCCTGTTCAATTTTCTTGGGGAGAATCGGTCAGTTCAGACTTTCTGTTTCTTCTTGATTTAGTCTTGGAAGATTGTATGTTTCTATGAATGTATCTATTTCCTCTAGATTGTTCAATTTGTTGGCATATAATTGTTCATAGTATTTTCTTATAATCCTTTTTTATTTCTGTGGAGTCAGTTGTCATTTCTTTTTTTTCATTTCTGATTTTTCTTGATGAGTCTGGTTAAAGCTTTATCAATTTGTTTATCTTTTCAAAGAACCAACTCTTGGTTTCATTGATCTTTTTGATTGTTTTTTTTTTTTTTAGATTCTATTTTGTTTATTTCTGTTCTGGCTTTCATTGTTTCCTTCCTTCTACTCATTTTGGGCTTTATTTCCTGTTCTGTTTCTAGTTCCTTTAGGAGTAAAGTTAGATTGTTTATTTGCAATTTTTCTTGCTTCTTGAGGTAGGTCTGTATTGCTATGAATATCACTCTTAGGAATGTATTTGCTGTGTCCCATAGATTTTGGGTTGTTGTAATTTTGTTTTCTTTTGCATCTAGATATCTTTTGATTTCTTCCTTGATCTCATTGTTAGCCCACTCATTGTTTAGTAGCATGTTATTAAGCCTCCTTGTGTTTGTATATTTTTCATTTTTTTTTCTTGTAATTGACCATTGTGGTCAGAGAAGATGCTTGATATAATTTCAGTTTTCTTAAATTTACTGAGACTTGATTTTTGGCCTGACATGTGTTTCATCTTGGAAAATGTTCTATGTTCACTTGAGAACAATGTACATTCTGCTGCTTTGGGGTAAAATACTCTAAAAATATCAATTAAATTTATCTGGTCTAATGTATCATTTAAGGCTGCTGTTTTCTTGTTGGTTTTCTATCTGGAAGATCTGTCCATGGGTGTCAATAGGATGTTAAAGTACCCTACTATGACTATTACTGTTGATCTCTCCCTTTATGTCTATCAATATTTGCTATATACATTTAGGTGCCCCTATGTTGGGTGCATAAATGTCTACTAGGGTTATATACTCTTGTTGGAGTGATCCTTTTATCATTATGTAATGTCCTTCCTTGTCTCTTATTATAATCTTTGTATTAAAGTCTGTTTTGTGTGATATAAGTATTACTACCCTAGCTTTTTTTTCCATTTCCATTTGCATAAGGTATCTTTTTCCACCTCTTTACTTTAAGTTTGTATGTGTCTTTTGATCTGAATGGATCTCTTTTAGACATAATATAAATGGGTCTTGTTTTCTTATCCATTTGGCTACCCTGTGTCTTTCGATTGGAGTATTTAATCTATTTACGTTTAAAGTGTTTATTGATAGGTACATAATTATTGCCATTTTATTATTCATATATACGTGTTTTCCCCTCCTCCTTTTTCTTAAAGAAGTCCCTTTAACATTTCTTGTAATACTGGCTTTGGTAATGAATTTCCTTAGCTTTTTCCTGTCAGAGAAGGTCTTTATCTCACCTTCAATTTTAATTGATAGCCTTTCTGGGTAGAGTAGTTTTGGTTGTGGGTTCTTGCTTTTCATCATTTTGATTTTTGTGCCAATCCTTTCTTGCCTGCAAAGTTTCTGTTGCAAGATCAGCTGCCTTTCTCTTTCTGCTTTTAGGATTCTCTGTGTGTTTTAATTATGATGTGTCTTGGTGTGGGTCAGTTTGGGTTCACCTTGTTTGGGACTCTGCTCTTTCTGGACTTGTATGTCTATTTCCTTCACCAGGTTAGGGAAGGTTTCAGTAATTATTTTCTCAAATAGGTTCTCAATTCCTTGCTTTATTTTCTCTCTTCTCCTTCTGGTACTCCTGTGATCCGAACGTTGTTACACTTGATGTTGTCCCAGAGGTCTCTTAAATCCTTTTCTCTTTTTGCTATTCTGATTGGATGTTTTCTGTTACCTTGTCTTCTAAATCCCTGACTTGATCCTCTGCTTCATCCAATGTACTGTTGATTCCTTCTAGTGTAGTCTTCATTTCTGACTGTTTTTCTTTTTAATGATTTCTTGTTCTTTTTTATGCTTACTATCTCCTTCCTGAAGTTCTCATTGAGCTAATCTATACTTTCCTTAAGTTCATTTGAACTTTGTATCTGGTAGGTTCCTTGCCTCCATTTCATTTAGTTCTTTTTCTGGAGCTTTTACTATTCTTTCATTTGGGACATTTTCTTTGTTTTCTTATTTTTTCCCCCTCCCCCTTTGTTTTCTTATTTTGACTACCTCTCTGTATTCATTTCTATGTATTAGGTACATCTGCTATGTCTCCCACTTTTAGCCAGGTAGCCTTATGCAGTAGGTGTCCTGTGTGGCCCGGTGGCTCAGTCTCCCTGATCACCTGAGCCAGGTGCTCCAGTAGTGACTCTCATGTGGTTGTGTGTGCCCTCTTGTTGTAGTTGAGCTTTGATTGTTGTTGGTACAATTAAGGATCAACTACAACAGTGAGTAGGATCGACTCTCAGGCTGCCTTGCTGTGAGGATTGGCCACGCCCATGTCATATGAGCTGCTGTGCAGAGGCTGATCCTCCAGAGTGGGGTTCACCCCAGTGGGTTCATGTGCCTGTTGAGACCACTCTTTGGGTTTGCTGCTTGTGGAGCTAATCAGGTGGTGCTCTGCTGAGATCTAACGCTAGCCTCTGGATGTGTTGGTTTCTAAAGCCCCTTGGGAGAGGCTTCTGTGCAGGCCAAGGTAGGAGCTAAAAAGCTATCCATGTTTGGTTGCTGACTGAAGTGAACCTGGGGATATGTAGGAGAGGCCAAATGGTGAACTGAGGCCGACTACCACCAGTACCGGGCCTGGGGCAGCTCATCAAAAGGCCAGGGGCACCCCCAGGCCTGAGACTGTCTGCCAACTGCCTCGGGAGTACCAGGGTTGGATGAGGCAGGGTCAAGGGAGTCACCAGGGTGGGGCAAATGGTGTTCTCCAGGTTGGTGCATATTCAGATTTATTGCCAGTGCTGAGCCTATGGTCACTCTCAAAAACATAGCTCACACAGAGGCCAGCTGCTGCCCTCTTTGGGCCCATAGACCTCCAAGATTTGTTCAAGAAATGCTGTACCTACAGCTGGGGCTGGTTGCCTGCCACTGAAAATGTCTTTCAAGATGCATGAGCTGAGGTCTGCTGATTGCTGAGAATCCAGGGTAAGGCTGTTTGCCCAGTAACCAACCAAAATTGCTACCAGGCAATTTTTGATTTGGTTGGGGAAGTGTCTCTGGTGGAGTGAGCAGATCTCACCAGGCCAATGCAGATTCAGTTTTGGCCATGTGGAGAGAAGGATCAACACAGGCAAGATGGTGCTTACTTGCAGGCTGCACAAGAGGAGGACTCAACAAAAGTATAATAGTGGTTGTTCCTCTAGCCCTCACCCTGAAGTCACACAACTCAGTCTTTCCCTGTATGTCTCTGTTACCCCTGAGCTGCTATTCCTCCACAGGAGCCCAGGGTGAGTGCCTGCAAGTGAGTGAGACTGTGTGTGGGCCCTTTAAGGGGACATCTGGATTTCCAGCTGTCTTCCATCTTACATGGATGCCTGGACTCTCCACTGGTTTTCATAACAAGGTCTCCTCTTCCCGGGACCAGAAACCTGGGTTGGGGAGCCTCGGTGTGGGGCTGGGACCCCTTGCTCCTCTTGGTGGGGGGCAGCCTCCACAGCCGAGATATCCCTCCTGATGCTCAACTACCATATGTGGGTATAAGACCAGCCTGTTTTGTGGCTCCACCCCTCCTACCAGTCTCGATGTGGTCTCTATATTCTCGGTTATAGGAGTTCTGTTCAGCTAGTCTTCAGATCATTCTCCATGTTGACTGTTTAATAATTCAGTAGCAATTTTAGTGTGGCCATGGGAGGAGGCATGCACAGTGTTTACCTACCCTGCTATCTTGACCAGAATCCTCTGTCTGTCTCTTCAGTCTTGAAGGTAGTAGTTTGTCCTATGTCCTCACCTCATTTACATATCCAAGAAGAATTGTTGATTTTTAGTCTGTTTAGCTTTTTAGTTGTTATTAGAACAGAGCGGTAACTTTCCAAGCTCTTTACATATAGAACTGGAAACTGAAACTGGAAACTGAAGTTCTAAAGTATAGATTTTCACATTCTCTTTTAATTTTTAATTTACCAATATTTTTCATTTTGTGGCCTACCTTTCTGTCTCTTGTGCAGAAAGCCTTGCAGTAACTAATATCAAATAGATATTAGTATAGGAAGGGTGATCATTTTTATCTTTGTTATCATTGATTAAAACAGTATCAGGCTCATATAACCTAATTTGACTGTCCCTCCACCCATCATTTCTGTAGCATCCTACTCTATTAAAAACACAGTCATGTGATTTCATTATCTTCTTTTATTTTTTTCTCTCATCCTTAGGATCCAACTTTGCTCAGTCCCAAGACAGCCAAAATTCAGGCAAAAAAAACAAAGGCAAGAGGTAAGCAAGCTAGGTGGAAATGGGACATGTGCTACACTTAAGGCAGGGCAGAAACAGAGAGTGGAAGGAGTCTGCAGGTAGCTGGACCTTACTGATGGTCTCAGCTTTAGAACCCGAGAAAACAGGCAAGTTTCATGCTAGTGTCACTGGAGAAGCTTTAGCCTCCTCACTTTTGGATATTGAATTATAAAATCTTAGATTACAGTTGGAACGAGTGTTTTAAATTCTTAGCCAAGAAGGATGACTTCATGGAGAAGGCAGGTTCTAAGGAGAACTATAAAGAGAAGATGATCCAAGGAAGAAAAAAAAAAGAAATATTTGGGGAGTGGCGGGGGGTGGGGAACCGAGAGAATTTACTAGATTAAGATTTGCAGAAGATGCAGAGCAGAGACTTAAATATGGGGAGTCCATAGACCCTTTCCAATCTGTCATTTAGAGAGAAATAAACAAGTGTCCTTGATGGATGGGGGTTGGGGGTGATACAGGCATAGCAGATGGACGAGATGGGACCTCGCAAAGGAAGGCCATGAAGAGATCTCTGGTAAATGAACCTGCAGCTGCTCTTGTACCCATAACGGGAAGGAAAGAAGTGCATGGGAATTCAGATCCTGACCAGTCAGGTAAGGCTGTAGACTTGGGAAAAACTGTGGGGAAGTGAGGTTCAAGTCTGCATCTCCCCTTCCTAGAATTATTTAAATAGAATTATTTAAAAATAATTCTGCAACTTTTAATATCTTTAAAAAGGACAAAACTTAGGCCAAAAGGGTATCTCTCAGATTGTAGAATGCAGCACACACTATAGAAACATAACGGTTATTGGTATGATGTGATCCAAGGATAGAAGAATGGTTAGGAGGCAGGAACTAATATTTATTGAGTATTGCCATTCACTGGCTAGATACATATTTTCATGTTTATTTTCTTTATTTTTTTTTTTCAATATTTCTTTGACTGGTTATTTGCCATTTGAAAGATAAGGAGACTGAGGCTCAAAGAGTTTAAAATTTGCTCAAGATCATGTCTAGCATGTGGCCGATCCATGGCCTGAATCCAGGTCTTTCTGACTCCAAAGTCCATTTCTTTCTATAGAGAAAAGTAATCTTTTTCAGAGAATTTTTTTAGAAATGGAAATTTAGCAGTTTGATATATAAAAGGTAAAGACAGATGACCTAATGAGACTCTCAGTTTTGTCAATTTTTCATTTAGGTGTTAAGAAAAAATTTAAAGCTCCCCAAAGCAAGGTCTCAGTAACCAGTTTGTCTGAACACAAAGAGGTTAGAATGGTGCCAAAGGGCCTGATCCCACCAGCTTATCATGAGACTTGTTCTGTGGCGGGAAAAGAAGAGCCTGGACACCAGGAGCCACAGTCTCAGGAGGCTAGAAGCTTCCCCACTGATGATGAAGCCTCCAGTGACCTGGACCTGGAGCAACTCATGGAAGATGTTGGAAAATTGGAGCAGAGGGTGAAGCCACAACATAGAGATGATGCAGAGTTCACCTTCTTTGAGGAGTAGTTCTGTGCTCTGTTCTCTCACTCCCTTCCCTGGAAGCAGGAGGGAGAGGTTCTCACAGAGTGCCTGAGAAGTGTTGGGATTGATCATTGACTACAAGGTTAACTGGCTAAAGTCAGAATTATGTGGTTTACGTGTTAATAAAGTAGGTTACTGGCTTAATTGGTTTGGTTTATCTCTAACTACATGCTCCCTTTTGGCTGCTCTCTCTCTTTCATGTCATTGTGGCACATCATTGTTTCTGGTGGGAGGCCTCTATAGTATAGGAATCTGGGAAGGCAATGATAACTGAGTCCTGGGAGAAGGACATTGAGAAAGGGAGGTCTGGATTCAAATCCTGGCTCACCACTTACCGGCTGCATGGCTTTGGGAAAAGTACCATAACCATTTTGACTCTTCGTTTTATACCTCAAATGAGTACATTCAATACCATATTCAGGGTCGTTCATGATATTTAAATGAGGTGATAGAAGTAAAGGCTTAACATGATCCATACTAGTTATTATCATAAGGGAAATACAATGGTTGATTGCGGGGCAGACCTTGGGTTCTGAGCTACCTAACAGTGTTTGGGGACTTAGTGTTTCCAGGCTTGAGGCCTGAATCTTGGGTGTGAGCTATCTATTATAGTACATTTTTGGAAAGAAGGACAGAAGTTGAAGGTCACATCAGTTTTCTCCTTAGTTGCATTGGGCAATCCTACAGGTACTTTTATTTTTGTGGGCAAGGGCAGGAGGTCGAAGAGGGAATTAGAGCAGATAACTCTTTCTCTCAGGTCCTTGGTGGCTTTTAACCTCTGCTGGCTTCTGAATCATCTGTGTCTGGCTGGGGTTATTATGGGAAGTGGTGATCCCTTTATACAGCTTACTCTAAGGAGGTCATCATTCAGTCCCACTCATTAGGTCTTTAAGATCGAATATAGGGTCTCTTTGTGGGGGCTGTCATGGGAAGGGTAGCAGGAAGGTGCTGATGGTGAGGTCAAGCTGGAGAGAGCAAGGGAGGCATAGAGGATGCCATCATCCTGGGTGAGAACAGAAAGAGAAGGGGGTTAGAGAGAGGAGGGGGAGCAGACCCCATCATAAAGCAGTAATCTACAACCGCCAATACCACAGTCCCACTCTTCCTTATACTCCAACTACTCCAAACTTTCTTTTAATTTTTTCAGGCCCTTGTCTGAATTGCTTACCTTGGAGTCCAGCTTGGGGTCGCTTTGTTGTCCTAGGAAAAAAGTCAAGATATACTGGGTCAGGTGGCATGGCAGTCAGGGTAGGGAAATAGACAGTGGGCTCAGTAGTGAGGTCATGTAGTGTGTCGGGACTAGGGTCACGTGGGAGGGATAGGTGAGGCCTGAGAAAGAGGCAAATGCTTAGAGGCACATGTGTGGGGAGGGAGTGTGGGGAAGAAGGACGGGCCAAGCTGGAGAGTGGGGAGTGACAGTAGGACTGACCTTTATTCCCAGTATTCTCACACTTCTCCTCAGTGTTTTGGAAGGATCCCCTGCATGGGAACAAAAGGGTGGGAAACGCATTCGAGGCTGGGCAGAAAAGAGTTAAAACCTGCATCAGGCTGGTTCTCTTGTGGGGGTCTCTGCAAACTGCTTGGACATAGAAGATGTAGGCAATAGTTTGAGGGTCTCAGAAGGAGGCTGCCTTGGAGTGGATTGAGAGGCAATTTGCGGTGTAGCCCAGGAGAGGTCCCTAAGTGCCAGCTGAAGGTGGCTTGTTCTAGACAAGCAGCTTTTGTTGGAAGGAGGCGCAGGGAGGAGACAGCAGAAGGGTGAGCTCTCCTGTCCTCTCTACTGGCACTGACTTGGTTAAAACTGGAGACGGAAAACCAGAGAAACTAATGCCACATCTTCTGGGTGGGTGCTCAGGCTTTGGTCTCCAGGAGATACATCCTGGGAGGTGACCCGAGGAAGGCAGCTGGCAAAAGTCAGGGAGTTAGAGACATGAAGAAGAGGGGCTGTGGGAAGGGTAGGAGTGGAAATGGGAAGAAGGATGGAGGAAATGAAAGCTGTGGGAGGGTGAGGAGGACCAGCGCTCAGGAAAGGAAGGGAGGCAGGGTGTGCGCAGAGGAGAGGAGGCCAGGCTGGGAGCTGAGGAGGGAAGGCGCTCTGAGGAAAGGCAGCTGGTAGAGGAGCTGAGGACAGAGGTTTCTTCTGACCCCTTTTGGGTATGTCACCCAAAAAGGTGAAAAGGCAGTTTGGATGATGAGCAAGAAAGAGGAGAAAATGTGGAAGAGGTAGATCTGTTTGGGAAGGATGATGTTCAAGGTGGAGAGAAAACAGGATGAGCAGAGGAAACACTTAGCAATGGCGACAAAAAGAGGATAAAGGAAATACCAGAGAAAGACCAAGGAAGACATTCTGGGAAAGAATCGGAGAAAGCGCTGGAACCCTTAGGTCCACTCTTCTCATTGATTTTGTTTGTTAGTTAGTTTGTTAGTTTGTTTTAAGGAACCAGAGCCTCAGGAAGTGAAGAGCCGGGCCTGTTAGGGACATGAGGATGCGGATGGGAAAGTCAAGGATGAGAGCAGCTGTGAAAAGCTACCTAGTACAGTTCTCATAAAGACACTTTCCCAAAATAGCACCCCCCTCCCCCACAAATGTCCCCCCTTGGAGGATGGGCACTCACCCGGCTGGGGCTCTGGCTTTAGTCCGCAGTCCTATAGAGGGACCAACAGCATGTCAGTGTGCCATCCACTGATGGCATCTCTCCTCCCTGCCTTCTCTGCTCATCCTACTCTGAGGCCACCCTTGGAGAAACCAGGGCAGCAAGGCAGCTCTGCTGAAACCCATCTGAGAAGGGCCTGGGACTCAGAGTCCGCACCTAGTGACATCCTGAGGACGTCCACACCTGTCTCGCCATTGTCCTCAACACCAAATCAGGGAACACCTTTTCTCTGTACCCTGTGCCCCTTCATTCTACTCTCTCTCCCCACCTTTCTTTCTGCATCCTTCCTTCCTTGAACTCTCCATAATCCCCCAACCTGCTCCTGCTGCTGAGCCCTGGCCCACCAACCCTCTCCCTCCCGACTCTTGTCATAGGCACCAGTGCTCCTTCCTTCTCTGACAAACCAGCTTCTTGTGCTTTCCTTTACATCGCCTCTGGGGTCGGAGGCTCCTGGGTGTGATTTACAAGATTCTCTTCTCCCATCTCCTGCCTCTTCCATAGCAGTGAGCTGCTTATAGTTCCCAAAATGGGTTCTTCTGCTTGGAAGAACAGGGACCTCTATACCACCCTCACCACTTCCCTGGCTAACTCTTTCATTCTTTGAGAATTTTTGCAGATGTCACTTCCTCCTGGGAGTCCTCCCTGATTCCCCTTTCTCCCAACCTACCAGAGCTCTTTCCAAATGAGGCAGCTAGTGCTTGAGGCACCCCCCGCCCACACTGAGTCCCTTGAAAGCAGGGCCCCTGCTTTATGTACTTGTATTTCCAATCACAAGGCAGGTCCTGGAAAATGGGCACCCTTCCAATGCTGCTGAGTTGAGCCAACTTCCTGTCCCTTCTGCTCTCTCCTTACTTTTCTCAGGGCAGACTTGCTTCTCCCCATGAGCCAAAAGGTGAGGACTGAAGAGCATGATTAAGTCGAGAGACAAGAACTAGAAAATGATCAGATTTGTGGAGAGGAGTTTGTCTGGAGCGGTGGTTCTCAAACTTGATCACTCACAGACACCACTTGAGGAGACTGTTAATGATGCAGATTGCCATGTCTAGACCCTA